ATCCTTTTGATAAAGCCCGCCGAGCATGCCAAATCATCAATTAACCCGAGAAAATTGCGCAATTGCGATCATTGCATTTTTTTACGCTGCATCATTGCCTACTTAAAAAGAAAGAGATGGAGAGAAAAAAAGAAGGAAGGAGAGATAAATAAATGCAAAATACGTACAGACTTGTTTAAAGAGCTCGAAGAGCCGCTTTTTTAGGAATAAATAAATCACGTGTGCGCAGAATCAAACAATTACTGATACAATACATAATATATTATTCAAAAATTTAATATACATGGCATGGTATAATCATTAATATATAACGTATACAATAAGAGCCAAAAAGTCACCTCATAAAATTTTAATATTCTTGTGTTATTTAATATTCCGTTTCGATTACATATTATATTTCAGTAGAGCTAATCCTTTGAAAAATATATCTTATATATTTAACGGCTCCAAACAAGTAGGATTTTCCGTATGCAGATAAGGAGAATATTTCTGAAATACTCGCATTAGGAACTAATGTATCTTATTAACTGCTGATCGCAGACGCATTGCAGCATGTCGGAGTTTATCGCTGCTGCTGCGCGTAAACCATTTCGCGAGCGTCGACGGCGAACGCCGTCAGTCTTGCGGTGAACGCGTCGTAGGACGCGACGTATAAGCGGTAAACAGAACGGAACAGACCGGGACACGGCGGGATTCACAAGAGCAATTATCCAATTATCTCGCGGTGAACCAGACGAATTATACTAATGTATCGGCAAGATCTTGCTAAAGTGGAAGAGAGAAGAGACGAGTAAAAGATGTGTCATTCTTTCCGCATTGTTGAGTTTTTTTTTCTTTTTTCTCCAAGAACCTCCATTCTGGAAATTGTTGTTCAGAAGCGAGAGAAACTCACACTTTTATACCGAGTTTATAGCTGATTTCGAGCTCGTAAGCCGTAATCGTCGAACGGAAAAAATTCCGCAGCTACTTACACGTCTCTCGTAAAATTTATGCGACGTGCAACAAATTCTCTTTTACGTCCGTTCAGCGCGGCACGTCGTTTCGTTTAACTCCATTAGACGTAAGCTTGCTCGCGAAGTGCGCGTTGCGCGATCTTCGATATTTCTATAACTTCGCGACTTAAAGCCTTTTTGCAATTTTGCTACATCACTGCGTCACGAACGTATTTCTCGCTTTCTCGCCCGTGGCATCGTCGTAAGCGGATTAGCTCGCTCGGTGCGGCTCAATTTCGCGACCTTATCTGAATACGGCTTTTTCTGCCTCTCCTCAATGTCTCTCTCTCCCGAGCTTTGTCTCCGTCATTAGGGGATTAAAAAGCACTCGATCATTCCGCCGAGGCGCATATGGAAACCGAATAGAAGCTTATGATAGCTAAATACACAAAATAACACTTGAACCAGGATTCGGATTAAGCCAAAAGTAACCAATGTAGCTGTATGATTTATTTTCTAATGCTTTTATCGCTACTTGCTATCTTCTCAAGTCCTTAAAATTTGTTTTTAAAAATTTCTAACATTTGCGTGACTTATATTTACAATTTTCTTATAATTTATCGCAGTAAATAGAAAGTTAAAAATTATTTAAACAAGCAATAAAAGAGTATCATTATTATCGCATATATTGTACGTCGTAATCTTTTTCGGACAATATATTTTTTACACAGCACGTGTAATAAAAAATATAAATTTAGTATCAAAGTCTGAAGAAAATTTATATCTTTTATTCTTTTTTTCTCTTGCTTCGCCTTTCATAAAGAACTCCAAAGAAATTATATAGACGTCGGGGTGGCTCGACGAATATGACCGTGAACCTCGTCCTTATATGAAGAAAAATAATTAATCCCCATACGTGAGCGGAAAAAAGGCGGATTACATCAAGCAAAGTGGAGGACGGTCAAAGAGGAGATAAAAAAGATCGAAGGCTCCAACTATATGGAGAAATCTCGCTGAGATTATAATCCCCCATTAAGTAAGACGCTCACAAAGATCACGTGTAATCGGTCGTCCATACATGCTGTTATGCCCAGCCGACGTTTGCAAGTATCGTGTGTATTTATTGCGATTTAGGGAAAAGTTCAAATGAAGACTATTGAAAATATTTCCGAACTCTGTTAGACATTGATAAAGACACTCTCATCTATTATTATTATTTGGTTATGAACAAAAGAAAAGACAATTAATGTGAAAAGATTCTTTGCGCAATAGCCGAAGACCATTTTATAAATAATTTATTAAAGGACACGCAAATAGTCATCCAGTCATTTATTACAAAGCATCACGGTTTCTTGGTAAGCAACAACGTAAAAAGTTTTTTGCCGCGCGCAATTTACCTTGAAGATAATTGATATCGCTCGTGGAAGGCAGCGTCAAAAGATACATAACGTAGAATCATCTGATGCGCAACGAATGAAATTGATGTAGCACGCATTGCATAATTAAAACAAATAAAGCAGAATTGTAGTCGCGAAATAAGCGGCGGGGATTTCGTCGCCCTTGCAGTTCAGAGTTTACATAGCTCACGTACAAATGCACCATCAGCAAAATTGGTACATTTTGCCCACAGAAATTGTTTGAACTTCGCACTCTTCGTTGTTTAATAATTTTCTATTATTATTATATTCGCAAAATTATTAAAGCGCGACAATATATATTGCAAATCCTCGGGGATCAAGATTTCTCGAGATATCATCGCGTAGGAGCGAAGAATTCTCGAAATGTTTCTACCTGACGTTCGTTTCAAGGACATTGAGGAAAAGTCAGCGGGACTCCAAGGAATCTCCCGCGCTCCAGCGGGATGAACGATGGACGTAGCAGAAAGGTTGTTCCTGGACATTTATAAGAGGTTGCCGCCAACGGCGTGATAAATCAAACCCGAGACCCGGCGCGGCAGCAGCAGCTAGGACAGGGATGAGGGGGAGAGGAATATAGGAAAAGGAGGAGGGCAGGGTTGAACCGGACTCTCGTGGGGTCAGATCGACTTTCGTTGCCGCGCGGAGGAAAGCGAAGGCAGAATGGCGGGTTGAAGTAACCGCCGAGATCTCGAGATGAATGCCGAGTAGCGAGAAAAAAAGACTCATCTGCATTCCTGACTATATGAAGGATGCGCTCCTCGTCGCTCTCAATAATTAACGGCCTTATCGTCGGCCAGGATTCGCGCGCACGCGAGCCTCGCGCAACACGATAATACTTTACACCAACACTTTTCTTTTTTTATTTAGATCCAAGAGCGCGATAAATTAGCAGGAGAATGCTATACTTTATCGGCGAAGGATTGTTATCCTATAATTGCGAGTCTTATCGACGATCGCGAGTGTATCTCTATTGATCTTTACTCGTGAAACTATTCGAACGCGAATTTTTATAACGAATATGAATAGAGAAAATATTTTAGGGTAAAAATGATTTTTTTATGCTGCAGTTTCAACAGTAAACATTTTTGTTGAAGAGAGAGAGAGAGCGCCGAGAAAACGTACGCTGACGCAGCCTTGAGTCCTGAAGGATACCGCGTGTTACATATCGTGACAGCCACATTATTATCTCAAGGATATAAAAATTCGGCAATTTCAATTATCGATCATAATATTACTTCTGCGTTGAGCCAATTATTATAAAATTAGATACAGTTTTAATTATGATAAAGGGAGAAAATTTTGCGAATTGTAATACGCGCTATTAGCACAATGGGGTTATTAAAGTTACTGGAACTGCAATTAAAGAAAAATAACATCGTGATCCACTGATTACTGCACAACTGCAACGAAATATATTCGATGTACAGCTGTCGATAAAGCTCCGCTTGACCCTGACTGTCGGGATGCATTACTCCGAATGACTGGCGAGCTGCCAGAACGGGGCTACGCTCGCGGTAAACGTGTATGTAATGATGGGTTTCTCGCTCGCGCGCACGGGACGTGGCACGAACCACGGCGCCCTTCGATGATGAGGCACCATCTTCAACGAAGTCGAAGGCCTTCACGTCGGAGGCCCCAAATTGCTGCCCGTTGCGAATTGGCATAATGACGGGTATCGTGCCACACCGATAGCTCGACCCGAAGGATCGAGTTCGTACGTACGTGTTGCTTCAAGCGTTTGCTAGAACGTTGAAGAAAGATGATAGTCCATTTAAGAATGAACTTCTGAATAGTGCTAGCTGGCTCATTATGCAAAAGATCAATTTCTTTCATTACAGTAAAGTGAGAAGATGAACATTTTTCTTATTGTATCTATTTTGTTAGATTTTTTTAAAATTATATATTAAAATTTTGACACTATAAAGATCATTAAATGATCAATTTTTTGTCTTTATCTCGTGCTTTTTTTATCTACATAAGTAGAATCGTAAATTCCAACGTTTAGAATCGCCAGATGCTGAGATAAAGTTTTTAGCATAGTGAAAAAAAGTGCGAATTTTATGATCGGCAATAACAAGATCGGGACAAATGAGGAATAAGCTTAAAGGAGTCAAAATATCTCGATTAGTAAACGAGAGTTTGACGCAGGTTCCTTCTTCATGGTCAGTTGGCTTCGTTCGTGCTTTCACCACCTGCCCCCTCGGCGCGGTCCCACCCCTTCGGCCCACAGCCTCGTTTCGGACCTATTGTCCGCGGCGCGTTTCAAGATGCCGCCGACGGCTTTAATGAGAATTTTAATTACCCAATCCGGCGCTTTCTCAAGACCCGCCGACGAAACGCAGAACCGTCTAAGGAACCTTTGCTCTTGCGCAAGTCGCATCGATGTTTAGCGATTGTTCTAAGCGCTTCTCCAAAGCGACTGAATAATTCGATTACGACAATAGATAACGCACGTGTTTCTTTGACATGTCTCTTTATTATATCTAACAATTTTATTCATGATTATTAGTCATAAAAGTCTCTCAAGAATTAGCAATACATCAATGACTGATGTTAATGAAATATGAATGCGTAATTTAGCATAATATAAATATACTAATGCATTTTTTTTTTTAACACATCTATCTGTAAAATTTTTCAATATATGGAATCAGTATAATTTCTCCTTATTAATATCGTTTCTAGATCGTTGCAACCATGCGGAATATAGCATGCTTTTCTCTGGTCTGTCCATATTTGTCCACGGCGTAGCGTTTCCGATTACACTTGGTGCGTGATGTTCTAACATATCGTCAACGTTGTTTAAATTTCGTGGAATCTTGAATACAGCTCGCTGTGAGTTCGATAATGCGTCATCCTTCCTATCAGAGTTCGAATACGATGATTTCATAATTAATTTTCCAGCGCAGTTGTCGTTCGATGTTACTCTGGATTTCGTGTGCATCTTCGAATCAGACGATATAAAACCAGCTGAACCATTTGGTTTTTTCAAAAAACCAATTGATCCCGAAAAACTTCCTCTATCCTTGTTTGCCTTTAATTCTCGCAAATGATTTTCTTCGCTATCCTTTGACAATAAACTCTTGCTTTTGGGATTTTGCGTTATAATCTTTGCTGCTATAATTTTTGCATCGGATTTTTTATTCAATTTATCTGCAGATTGATCAGTGCTTAATATGTCTTTTATATTTTTATTTATCGAATCTTTAGTTACTACATTATTTTTTACTTTTGAAGTCGATTTTGTTTGTATTTCGTTTATGGTTTCCAAGGGTGATTTATTTTGGTCTGTTATTTTCTTATGCAAAGTAAATTCTTTAGCTGAGTTATCTTTTAATTTTGGCGATGTCAAGTTCAGTTTTTCCAATTTTTTAATTATTGTCACTTCTGAAGTATTCTTTATATTTGATAAATTGTTCGGTTTATTTTGCTTTAATTCTATTGGCGTTTCAACGTGTTCCATCGTTTTTTCTGATTTTTGCGTCGTTTCTGAAGAAATTGTTAAACTTGGCAAAGAATCGGCTTTATCAGTATTAGATTTCGATAATGATTTCAAATTTGCTTGAAGAATTTTTTCCTGGTTTTCCAACGTTTGCACTAATTTCGAGGAATTGCTAAAATTTGGAGAATTTTGAATCTTTTTTATTTCATTATTTAATCCTGATGGTTTTGTCGATGATATTTTTACGTCATCAATCAAAGTATCATCTTTTCCTTTTTTCATTGGTTTTATAACATCTAAATTATTTTGTATCTTTGGTTTTATAGTGAAAATCTCATTGATTGATTTTGTCTGCTTTAACGAATCATTATGTTCCTTCTCTTGATTTCTTTTTGATAATAAATCTTGCGCACTATTTGGTGCTTCGAATTTTCTTGACAAGATAAGTGCCTTATCTTCTATATCATGTTTGCTTTGCGTATTTATTGTATCAGATGTAGATACTGTAGTTGATTTTATTTGTTTAATCTCAGAAACTTTTTCATTATTTTTTACAATTGATATCTGGTTATTTTCAATTTTTATATCATTTTCCATAAAATCAGGAATAATATCGGGATTTTCTCGATTCGGTTTTAATCTAAACAAATACGAATATCGAAGATTGGGTTTAGATTCTATACATTGCTCTGAAGAATTCGAGCAAGAAGTCAAATTGTCAGAATTGTTTTTTGCAATAATCTCGTTGTTTGTCGACTGAATTTTCTTTGTCGGTATTTTTGAGCCTGACGTTTCTTTCAACATTGAAGATTCCGTGACAAGATTTTTATTCAAATCCGACGAGGTCGTTTTTTTTTCATTTTGATTTGATAATGGCGTGAGTGGTTTACGATCATCCTCCTTTTTCTTTATCTTGTTAAAAGAATCGGAGGAGGACCACCAAGGTACCATTTTCGAGGGAATGCGAGAATCAGAAGATTCATATTTATCGTACGTATTCGTCTCCGGAGATCGCACGGTGCTCGTCATTTTTTTCAATTTTCCAGTTTCAATATTTGCTTCTTCGGTTGCTTTTTTCTTCGTTGTTTTGCGTTGAATTTCAAAACCAATATTATCTGAAATTTTATGCTTGTTGATAGGTTTTTCAGTTGCATTGTTAGATTCATTTTGTTGCACGTTATTGGTGTCAAGAGTTTCGTCATAGGCCTTTGCAGGTTTGTTAAACACATAATGAGTCTTGGAAGTTTGCGAAGGTAATGTCGATATCGTGTTTATTGTTTCTGCCGGCTCCTCAGTGCTACTCTTGGCGAATTTATTCTGAAAGTTGGCGGATATTTGTACGTTCAATATCTGCTCCACGTTCGAATCGGTTCCCTTCGATAAGTCGTTCTCTTTCGACTTGCTCAACGTGTTCGCCTCGTCCTTGGCGAACGGTATCCTGATCTCGATTTTGTCCACTGAGCTCACCACATCTAACTTCTCCGTCCTTGCGGTGATGCTTTTCAGCTCCGAAACCGGTTTGCCGTTGATTGAAAACTCAATCTGTTTGATCGGCGCGGAGTCCTCGCTAATCGAAATGCGCATCGGACCGAAGTCACTGCGCTGCGATGCACTTTTGCTACTTCTCTGGAGTGTCGGAATGTTCCACTGATTCTCCGTCGACTGTAGATCCCCCTTTCGGTCAGATTGGACGACGACGGAGAGCTGTTTGGAGGCAGGATTTTGAGGATCCAGCGGTCCGGTCGAAGCCGAGTCCACGTTGATGGACACAATAGATTCTTTTTCAGAAGGCACCATACGCAGTTTAACCTGAGGTTGCTTCAATATATTGCTATCGCCAGCCGGAACCTGCGTCGAATGCTTTCTTACGGATGCATTGTTTGTTGCATTACTGAAATACCGCGGCGAATTCAAGGTCTTGTCGTTAAATTGCGAATAATTATGCTTTCGCAGATCTTTATTAAGTTTTTCCATCTTGTGAACTTTGTTAAATTGATCATTCAACTTTCCATCTACTGTATCTTCTTTCTTTCGTTCGTAAGTTTCGATTAGCTCTGTGAATCTGTGAGCTCTGTTCAGCGAATTACTGGACTCGAATTGCAAAATATCATTTTCTTCTGGCTTAGACGCAGTTTTTGCGTTTTTTCTGCCAGTGAAGCTTTTCAAGTCACTTATCACGTTCTCCATTTCTCCTAACCAATCCTCCCTTGAATTAGTTGTCTGTTCGTTGATATTCTTCTCGAGTGGCATTGCAGCGATAAGAGGGATTGTCTCTGGTGTATTCGTGCCGCTTGCTTTTCTCGTCGGAGTGGCGAAGGTTTCAAGAGAATTTTTCGCCAATACGTTTCTCTTTGGCAGTAAACCACCGTTCGAAATATTTAAAAACGGAATGTTACGCATAGACTTACTGCAATCGGCAACTAATCTTATATAAGATTGATCGTCGCCCGTTAAATCATTTGCAACGCAATTCTGATTGGTGCTTTTATTTATTGCCTCGGTGATATGCGTGTCGCAGTGTTGAAAATTGCGACGTTCGTCAATGTTTGCGTTATCACGTCGAATGCAGCGGTCGAACTTAGCTGCAGTAGTGGGAAGAAGTGAATCATCTTTTCGCTCTTCACACGGTACTCCGTTATGTTCACTGATATTTATGATTTTCTTTGCCGAGGATGATGTGGAGAAAGTACTGAATGGACTCATGCGCATTGTATTGTTGAAATAAAGACTATCATTTCGTGAACTTAAGGCGGATTCCTTGTATAAAATTTTGCTGTAATCGGCTATCAGTTCTGCGTACGATCGAGGATGTTTCTCAACTGATGCGATGAAACTGTTATGACGATTTGTATTCTTCGTACTGTTCATTATCGGAACTTCTTGAGACACGTGTTCTTTGTTAATTCTGTTAAATATGACGTTCTGACACGTAGAATAATGACACACTGTTCTCGCTGTATTTTCCAGTGGCAATTTCTTATTCAACGATGATTTTTTCTTCAACGAAGTTACGCTGGACTTGGTTCTGCTACGTTGCTTGCAAATTGTTTTGCTTTCTTTGAAAACAAGCCGCAGACTGTTTTGACGAAATTGTCCCGAATATTTAATACCAATGCCATGACTTTTCTTTGCTGCGGACAATGCATTCGATCCTAAAAATTGAGATTTGAACCGGCGATTTTCGCAATTTACACCTGTATGATGTCCATAACGCAAAGCAGCATCTATATAATGATAATAATAATTAATTATTAAATATTAAATAGTAGAAAAATATCACGTAATAAAAAATATCTTACATACTTGTAATTATATATATTGTATTTTAATATTATATACATTTATTTACTTATTATATAATTTATTGTTTAGAAAATTTATAAATGAAATTAAGTAAGTTAAAAGTGGTTAGCTTCAAAGCAGCATGAAATTTAAATATTATTTATGACAAATAATATTTTAAAAATATAGATATACATGCACAAAGTAATCACACAAGAAATGTTAGAGTAGATTGTTTGAACTTACTGGATGGAGCGCAACGAGGAACATTTATACGAATATGTTTTAGGTGATTCATTTTACAATCTTAATGAAACATGTGCATTATAAGCGAAGAATACTCGTTCGATTTTGCGCTACTGCCGAATACAAATTAATTGAGCACTCACTGACGAGATTATTTATTTTATGCACAGAAGCATGATGGGGCTAACGATCTTGTCACAGAAATGTCACGCAAGACAAACGAATCGCACAGTTCGTGAGAATACTTCAATTTTTTATTTTATCAATTACATCCTATTCGTCTTACTATTCGCCGATAAGAAATTTTTTAATTAAAATTTCGATCATATTGCGAAACTCACGTTACATTCCGGAACATTTAGTTGATATAAGTGGTGAGCTCTAAAATTTGCACACTTAAAGCTTACGTTTCCAATGCAAAGCACGTCTTCTCAGCCTATTATCGACGCCTTCGCGCGGTCTATCAAAAATGGTACCGGCGTTACTTTCAAAGCGGCGCATGTCGTCCAGCCAGGATTGATCTCGAGGATAAGAATCCGGCGCGACTTTAACACGGGGCCCTCGGAGCGGCACAATGCCACAGTGGACACGTTTATCTTCGCGATCTCCACTTCCATGCCGCTCGGACGGTTTATCCTCTTCGACTACCACAGTCGCCTTACTCACGACACTTCTTCACGGTGCGAGGCCACGACGGGCACTTGCCTGCTGCTCGATCCTCGACAGAACCGTCAATTTGCGATCCGCCGAGGATCGGACGATGCGAAACGTGCCCAGCTGTTGGAAGCATTGATTAGACCTGCAGCACAATCTTACCTACAGGATAGAGCCACACTCGATCTTCTCTTCGAAAGAACCTCGAGAATATGCAGCGTAGCGTCGCTGATCTTCCCACATTGCCACCGGCAATTTGTTCTTCGCCGGAGCAGCTCGGAAAATAATACCCACACGATTCGTTATGCTGATACACCGCAGCGCGGAGAAGCGACGTGCACGCCGAAAAGTCACGAATCAATTATTCCGAAAAGAATTGGAGACAAAAATTTTCACTTGCAACAAGTTGCGGCAATATTTCAGGTGAAATGATTACTCGCTGCACTCATCTGACAAAATTAAATAATTATATTAAGTAATTTGTGTTTTACGGAGCTTCATATCGTAGTATTCGCATAATATCTTACATTTAACGATTCCAAAAATATTCCAAAAATATTTCTATATAATAGCGTTCCATGGAAGTACGCTTGTAGCCTGTGGTGTGAATATATTTCATATCGCATGCATTCTTCTTGCCTCGCACGAAATCGCTCAAGATTCTGTTCGGCAGATACGTCCAGGGGAAAGATCACGGAAACTTTTCACGCAAACTTAGCCGGGGAGTCACGCCGTGGGGCTGCACGAAGTATGGAGGTCGGCTCGGCAGAAGTTATCCGTGACTCGACGCTCCGACTGGATTCTCGCTTGCGAGATGATCGTGAGCGGCGATCCTGTATTTCGTGGCGTGTTCTCTCGCATCCGTCGTGGCCACGATATCTCTTTTTCAAACGCGAAACTCCATGGAAGCCCATCACGGAGTCACGAACATTATTAGCGGACCGCGAACATAATTCACGCGAGTTAACCAATAGGAAGCTGCGGGTGTCTAACGAGCCACGGTCGCCACTATTTTCTTTCGTTTTACCCGCCTCTCTTTCTGGCATCACGTTCCTCCAGATCGCTTTATGTTCTCGCTTTCAACATTATTAGCTTTATAGCGCTACTAAAATCGTGGCAAGTCTTAATCGTCCTCGCTATACGCCATTCGCCGAAAAATGCAATCCCATGGATTGAATTTATCATTTGCTGCAAATCAAAAATATTGCGAATTTTTTTTTTTCAGAATTTTTCGTACATTAAAATTGATTCAATTGAATTAATTATGGTAAAAGAAAGCGATCAATTCTACAGCGATAATGAAATTAAAAATGTTCTTCCGTGTTAAATTCGTCCTACATAGAGTAGTTTAACAGGATACATTTTCAAGTTAATTGGCGAGAAAGTTAAGTTTTCTATTAGCAATGTTTATATTTATTTTTATATTCATAACGAAACAAATACCTCTTTATTGGGAATTATTAGAAAATTTAGCTATACTTTTGCACAATCTCGCAAGTGTGTTTCAATGAAAATTCAATAAAAATCTGATAAATAGAATAAATTATATGAAAACTAAAAAAACCTACTTATAATTAATAATAAATTTTTTTAGTGGTGCATTTTTTTTACATTTCCAAACTATGCCATTTGGATTTATCATTCTCTCTGTTTATGTTGGATCAAATTGCATTACGCATATTTTGTATATTTTATTTTGCGCGCATGTCGCAGCCCTTCCCATCACGGGCGGTGGAGAAAACGCAACTCTCTGCTTGTCTTATCGCGCCTCTTAATCGGGAGTTTAGACACTCCGCTGATAAGGCGTCGCGACATGTGCACACCTTGAAAAAATTCTGACTTTGAGGAAACATCAGAGCAGCAAGGGTCATGTGGATATGCACTCGTGAGATTCGTATGTTACGAAAGATAACAGACTTATATTTGACTTTGGAGTTATATACGTCTCGTCTTCTCTTCGTTACTTGAGTTAAATTTCACTTTTGCTCAGATTATTGGCGATGATAAATTGGATATATGATATGGCGAGAGATACACACGGATAAACAACCGTAAATCATGTCGCACTCTGTCCACACTTCCTCGTTAGCGATATAACTCCGGTAGATTGTTTGGATTTAGATCTTTTCTATCTCAAACGTCATTTGAAATCATTAACAGATCCGTGTCATGTAACACTATAAATACTAATTAGTCGACAGAAATGTTAATAGATACGCATATCTGTCGCCTAAATTATTTTTAGAAATCAAAATGATGTAGGAATTATCCTTTATATTCTATTTCTATTAATTTTGCCTCATCTCTAAAGGAATGTGGTTGTTTTTTAACAAGGCAAATGCAATTTCAAAACTCTGCTCGACTTTCTCTCTTTCTTTCCTTCTGCTTCGCGCAACTTCGTACACTGCTGCTCCAGGCTTGTCTTCCGGCGCACATACGCATCTCCTGAGCGCCCTTATATCTCGCCGTCACTATTGTCGTGCAGACGTTACACGGCCGACACTGTTAAGAATGGCGACAGAAATAGGGAGTGTTCACCCGCATACAAATTGATCCTTTTTGCTTGGCGGGGTCGCGCGTCTATAGCGGCACCTATGGCCGCATCTCCCTCGCAGCCGCCGAAAAACCGGACCCGGACACTCGGCTACAAGGGGGTTGTCGCGTTTTGTGGAAACAATCAGCAGGTTGTCGCGAAACAAGGATATGAATGCATAAGCAGCGCAGTTAACACGGTTACACGCCGTGTTTCGCCGGCTCTCTTTTTCTTTCGGACCCTCCCTCAAAAGACGCCGCTTTTGTGCCCGAGTCCGACTGCGCGAGGGGACAGAGGGGTATGAGGACCAGAAAGACGAAGGACGAAGAACGCAGGTTCCCTCGAAGATATATACGATCGACGACGTCACATGGCAAAGGCTCTTTTCTCTTATTGTCTTTCGTACTCCTCGCCGTCCACGCTCTGCATTCGTCGCTCCTTGAGAGATTCTCCTTGAATTTGCGAGCACAAATTCCAAACTTTTTGTTGACTAACAGACTTTCTTTTCTTGTGTAACATTTCTTTTCATTGTATTTCTTTTTCTCTACTCGTGATAATATGTCATCGCTGCGCGTATACTAAGTCGTGTGGAATGTGAATAAAATTGCTAAAATATGCAAGATGAATGTTGCACTGGAGAGCGAAATATAATTAACTTAATGAAATCGAAATTGATGTCTCTAATAACGATATCAAGTTTTCTACTATTTTTCAAAAAATGTTAAATAAATAGAGATGCACCGAAATCTTTTTCAAAATTTTCTTTTTTTTCAAGAAAGCAAATTAAACATTTGGTTCAATCTGATTAAACTGAACGGATACTCAGAGAGAATTCCGCTTCTCTCACACGACGGTTCTCACTAGGAATCTGTACGAAAAACCACGCCTCTTAATCTTCCTTTGCGGACATTGATAAAATGCCCGTGCGATCAATGCATACGCCAGTTTACGAACAACAAATGTGAGAGTGCACGGCGAGGCTGACATTGCAGGGCGCCTTCGACGTTTATTGCTTATCGGATCAAGCGCGAGGGAGGGATAGATTACGCAGGTACATGTTGTGAAAAGTTAACGAGGCCTGGAGCGGACACGCCTCAGACGATCGGCGATTAGTCACTGCGAAAAGTATCAAGGAGCGCGTAATGATCTGTTTGGCGCAACAGTGACAAATGCATTTTGCTTATGAGAAACGAAATGCGCGAGAGCACCTTCGCTCTCGGTCCTTCGATATGCTTCACTTCAAAGTGCGATACGATGGAGAAACTTGGAGAATTAATAACACCTGGATTCTTTTAAGTAAATCTGCAATGTAATCCGGGAACTACAAAGTAAAATTTTTAAGCAGAGAGCTAAAAATTGAGACACTTCCATTAAACTGTCTAGTATCGTTTATGTCATGTTCAATCGCGCGCGTATCACATTCACGATAGTCTTGAAAATATGTAGCAAATGAAATATTAAAGGATCAATTAGAGAAGTATATGTGATACGTTATTTTGAAATCAATATTCCGGGCCACACACAATATATATGTATATGTTGCGTTCAATTGGAAACACAAAGTGAGCTGTTGTAATCAGAAACGAGCCGGGTCTTTGCCCAGAGTCTGACAGAGGCGATACGTAGAATGCATCGCGGTGACGGAGAGAGTCGCGTGGATATTGTTTATAACGTTATTGCGTTACAACCGGACGGCTGTCGCGTGTAACCGGAGCTGATGCCGCTTTGTTTCTTATCGCGAGATTTCACAGCTTTCTTAATCGCGGTGAAATTCCAGCACTGAAACGTCGCGGCGTGTCGCAAATTGAGAATGAAATATCTCTTTTTCTCCGCAATAACATTAATTGGTTTTTATTATGCAATTTGTGGAGGTGACACTCTTCGAAATCTTGTTCAGCAAGAAAATGTCCATTTTTTTTTTGTCATTAATTTTTTTAAATTATTATTTTCTTACACCGTTTCACACAGCGTACAAGTGAATAACTTATTTTCATACATTTTATTGTTTTTCTCTCTATAAGAATTAAGATTAAGCTTAGGTTTAGTGTTAAGCTTAGGCTTATGTATACGATTTCGCACGTTTTGTACGGACCCTCATAAAATCGCGAGACAAACAACAAAAAGATCTAAAATATTTTAGAGATAGCTATAAATAAAAGATTAAAATCCCATCGACGAGAGCGATAAAAATTTGCACAATTCCCGACTATCATCCGTGCAATTAAGCGTAGCGTCGACGGCGCCTGAGCCTTTTCAGTTCGGGTTAATTCCGCCATTCGAACGGTACGTCCTGGAACCGGTTCGCAGGCTCGTAATTCGTGCCGTGTCTTCGCATTTCTGGCGAAATCGCCAGCGCTATGCAAACACTTATCTCTGATTTGCAGATGTAGCTTATCAGGAACACTCGTTACTTTACACAAGATAAAGATATTTTTTTTCCAAGTGTTGAATTCATTAGTATAAAATTTATTGGAATATAAAAAAAAAACCTTTAAGCGCTAAATGCAAAAGAGTTTTGCAATTTTAATTTATAATATATTAGTATGTTAATTGGATTTCTCCCGTTCTCCAATTTCTGCATCGTTTTTCGCGAAAATACGCGG